ATGACAATTCAATCCGAACAAATAAAACTAACATTCCAAATTTAATTTAAAGTAATTCAAACATAATACACAAACCAAGAAGATCAGAGTTGATATCAAAAGAGTATGTATAATCTGAGATTACCAATCCACAGTGGTAAGGCATCTGCAATCCCGCAGGTGTTGCAAATGTCTATGGGCGGCGGTGTTAACTCAATATTAGGTGAACCGCCAGCTCCTTTGCTACCTTCTGACATAAATAATAAATAAATAAAAATAATGATAAAACAAGAGGTCTTGGCACCACCACGTCATCTTCCTCGTCCTATTGCACAACCACGCCCGCAACTTTCTTCGACGCTTCATTCACTAAAATAAATGTTAAATAAGTGTTAAACACACCACAATTTAATTTAACGAATACGAACGAGTACAAAACCTTATAATATTAGTAACTATGGCGGAACCCATGACAACCCGCGATGTTGTCATGGTATCCGCCGCTGTTTTCAAAGTTCACAAATTTTGTTGACAACAACGGGCGCCCAGTATTTAACACAATTGTGTAATAGATTCGTATCGAAAACACTTGAATTTATATAAAAAAACGTATATTGATATAAGTACTAATTATGAACTATTCTTTCATTTTTACACAGTTTTGGGTCAAAATAGACACACATTTCTTCGTATTTGACATATCAACCGGCAATCATTGTTCCCATCGCAAGCAATAACTTTTAACTTTCGGAGGCGAAATATTACAACTTTTGAATGCTAAAACTACTTGACTATAAAAAAAAAATTGTAGTATTATTCTTCCCGATCATTTATATGTATAATAGTACTTATATAAATATCTACTTACGACATATTTTATTAAGTCAACAATCATTTCACACGTAACGCACTTCTATTAACTTTCTAAATTTTTATGGCGTTCTGCTTGAAAGTTGTGGCCAGATAAATTTATTTCGTTGATTAATTTCCTACAGAACGTCCTATGAAGCTATTTTTATAATCAAAACGCGCTAGATGATATACGGAATTTGTTTACACTATGTCGCGTTGGTACCATGGTTCCCTAGTGGCGGTTTACATAATTCTATTTTCTTAGTACTATAGAACCTGTTGGCTTTCTGGGTGTTAGGAAATAATAAATTAATCGTACTTTAGACATCAATGAAATTTATTAACAGCCTCATAGTAGCAATACGCAAAGTAACTTTTCAACAATCTTAGTATAGAAAAACATGTAACGGTAAGTCCCCGTTAATAGTTCATTGCTAAAGATTATTTATAATCCGTGGTAATAATTGACAAAGACACGTATATCCTAATATCCACTTTGTATTGTTTAAAACATTACAACTTTATTATAACCAAATAAACCTTTTTTAATTTACCTCATTTATGTAAATTAACGAAATTATAGTACATTTCCGTATCTTTAGATATGGATAGTATATACAAAGAGTAAAGTTATATATAGGAGAGTAAGTATATAGTACGAAGTATGAAATTATAATACAAAATTCCTATCCTATCCCGAGGAGTGTCAAGTGTCAAGGTTACCAATTTAGGGGTTTCTCCCAAATTTAGGGGGTAAATAAACGCGTTGGGATTTTTTAAGTTCTTATATTTTTTTCCTTCCTTTTATATCTTGTTATTTTCTTTGATTAACAGCGTATTGAAGGGCAATTTATGGCTAACACACGACCCCTGACGCCATTACGTACTCATGGTGGTTCGCAATGTAGTGGAGCCGCAAATACAGGTGTTCCTAGCGGAGCATGTTCCATGACTGGATCGTGATATTTTCATCACTCTGGCCGAAATGCATAGAGCGGCGAGATATTCCCGCTTCTCTTTTCTCGATAAACAAAGCTGGCGATTAGACCGTTACCGAGAAGAGAGTAGGAGTCACTGTGTCGCCTGTACAATAGTGTACTGCGTACGGTACACTTTCTCTCAAAGTGGAAATCCGGCAAGGTCTTCATACTGCTGAAACCGGGCAAAGACCAACGACTTCCGCCTAGCTACCGGCTAATAACGCTACTGCCGCACGTAGCGAAACTATTTGAACGGCTGCCTGCTGCTGCTCAGAATAGTTTATTGCGTCGAACTACGCAGAAAGCTGTTTGGATTCGGCAGTAGCCATTCGGTCACAGGTCAGCTAGCCCGAGTGCTGCATTATCTTGCGGCCCAGTACAACAAGAGCCGCATCTTTCTGGGGGTACTTCTACACACGAAGAAGCCCTTGACAGATTGGCACTAGCGCCTCCCGTAAAAGCTCTTGAATGTTACCACCACCCACCGCGCGCTCGGATGGTTAGTAACGTCATTTCTGCAAAGACGGAAGTTCGTCCTACGTATACTTTATGTGGAATCAGTGGTACGATATATCAAAGCCGGTGTACCTCAAGATAGTTGTCTGTCGCCGCACCTATATGCAGTGTACACAAACGATATTCACTGAATGCTGATGAGTTGTTCTTCATGACTTCACAAAAGGCAGCGAATGTGGCAAGGAAGATGCAGCGCCAATTGGTCCTGCTGCCCGAATGGATGGATAAGTGACGGATGTCCGTCAATATCGACAAGACGTCTACATCCGCCACATCATTAACCAACCCATGCTGCGAGGTCAAGCGATCAAAAACGAAAACACCATCAGACACATTGGATTTTCGGTATGCCGCTCGTTGAGTATGGCACCGAACATTGCGGAATCTATTCTATCAGCTTAGGGCCCCCCGATCCTTACTCTACCCTATCCTGACGTCCAATCTACCTCTAAATACCAAACTCGTGGTCTATAAGACGTATATCCGCTAACATCTACTAACATAATTATATAAAAAATAGGTATTAGTATTTGTTATTTTCAAGCAGTCACTAAATAATGTTTCCTACTTTCCTAGTAAACTAAGCCTGCCCCGCGTCGTTAAAAAGACTACTACTCTACCCTTGAGCCGGAGTATAACGTTTATAGATATGTAAAAAATATCATTCTGTAAAATTAAAATTTATATAAATACCTGTTGTATTTAGAAGTTAAAAGAATAACAGATTTGCTTAAGTAGTTGTAGTAAATAAAAATAGCAGATTCAGCAGTTCAGCAAAAATAAATGAGGAATTTTAACCCAATTTTATTATATTCAATGTAATCGCGTTGACGTTGTGCAACCGTTGATATTTTTTTCATCAGCTATGGTAGGGCTAGGCCCACGCAGCAAGGTTCGCTGTTGCACCGTCCGGGTTAGTACCAAGTACCATGACCTCACAGAAGACCGGCGTGAAGTAGAAGTGAAACACTTTATAAAAAGGTGGCAACGCATCTGTACCGCTGCGGGTGTTGCAAACGTCCATGGGCGGTGGTTATCACTTAAAATCAGGTGAACCGCCAGCTTGCGTCCGTTTGCCACTTTCTTACATAAAATAAATTTGCATATTATATAATTTATTTTCGAAAATCTCCCTTCCACACTTTTCTCTTTTGTACACAGCTTAACATTTGGTTGTTAAACTGGTGCAATTTTGAAATTAAAAGAATGAAAAAACATACAAAATTGTATATTACAATAAAAGATCGTTTTGTTGTTGGATGCGGGAGGTGTGAGACTGAGTGCATCATATGGTAGAATTTATAAGATCACGTAACGAAAAATCATTCGCCATTCGGTTCTCTCTCCGTCTCATTGATGGAGAAATTCCCGTTTTTCCTATTAATCTTATGTTAGTAAGTTATTTTCCCGACAGCATAGTAATTTTATACAATATTTATATTTTTAATAAAATACTGATGTTTCAAAGCCCACATACCGCTCACCCTCGGAATAAATACCAATGTAAAAATTGTTAAAATAAACACCAGTTGGCGTATAATAATGGAAGTGTTAGATAGCTTTTATCTTATAATTTGCTTGCAGTCTCGATAATGGTAGAATAACGACAACATATGTATGTTTTGATCTCAATTGGGCTCAAATATGATGCTGGAGAATAAATTTAGTTTTAGATATTAATTTCAAAATAAACAACATATCCAACATTACTTAAAATACCACATTTAATTAATATTCTGAATTTTTATTTTAAGTACAATGTTGGGAAAATATTTAAAAATTAAAACACAAAATTGCAAACAAAAATAATATTTTACTATGAGGAAACTTGTTACATACACCAATGTAGACATGTTTTAGTAGGAAGAATCATGAAAGAAAACTAAAAAGATTCATTGTTCACTAATTTGTTAAGTGCCAAGAAAAGTAAATGATTTGTGCAAAAATAACTACTGGATCAGAAGCTTTGTTCTGATTAAGTAACTGATGAAACATTATTAGAAATATACTTGTACTTTTACTTGCATGTTCAGTGTTAAAATTATTTATAATCAATAATTACACTTTTAAGTGCAAATCATTACAAAATGACAACAAAACTAAATTTAGGTAGGTTTATTTAATAAAAAAAAAAACATGTAAAGAAATCAATATGCTACAGTCAAATTTAAGCAAAGTAAGACAAGGACACTTGAAAAATTGATGTATAGTAATGGATGGCGCCATAAACATAGTTAATACAACAGCATAATTCTAATTATGTAAAAAAAAAGGTTTGATGGAAGAGAGATATTTGGAAAAATATAAAAATAAGTAATAGATCATTATATAAAATAAAGGTACCTGCTATGTTTTATATGTTATAAGCCTATATTTATTGTTTTCTATTTGCACATGGTAATTATTAAGATTATCATTTTAAAAATAATGATACATATTTCTATTATAACACATCTAGTAAACAAAAAAGTGAAATTCTTAGTATACTTGGTGTACCAAATCCATCTTACTGTTAATGTTCTGTGCTGCCAGTCTACAATGGCAGGTTTGTTTCTGGTGTTATAATTTTAATTTATGCACTTTTCTTAAATTTGATTGATGATATTGACCAATGCCATGGGCAGTACAGATTATACACACATTATTGTTTGAGATATCATCTTTTCCCTGCTAATCAATAAATGATTGTTCTACACAGGCTTTTACCCGCTTCTCATATTCACGGCGATTTTCCTTGTACAACTGGGCAGCCATTGAGTTTGCTGGTGAGTTTGGATTAGGGTCACTCAGCAGTGACTGGAAAAGATAGAACAAACATTTTCTTTTACATCTGAATATACATTAGGTCAAAATGAAAGTGATTAGCTTTTGAATTACCATTTACAAGGTGGGGTAGCAGTCAAGCACTTACCAGTTTTGTACAGAAGAAATGACTTCATGATCAATGATCGTTCAATTCATAAATTGTATAAATTCTTATACTATAGTTCATAAATAGAAATAAACCGCTAACTTAATATTTCTACTTAATTTACTTACAGTTTAAGGCTTAAACTTGTGCTATATATGAAATAGTGTGGTGATGTTTTAATGAATAATGGACGGTGCAAAAAAAAACATTGGTACAAACCAGTGAAAATAAAAGTATTACTTTTGTCCTAAGAAAATCTGTTAATATATTTAAAATTTGGTAAAGGTAAGCTTAGGCACTATATTAAAAATGTAAGTGAATACTGTAAAACAATTATTAATGCTATGGTTTTTAAATGGGGCTAGACCAAGGATAAGCAGCGCACGGCTCGCAGGCCGCTTGCGGCCCCTTAAACATGTTTATGCGGCCCGCCAAGCATTTCTAAAATTGAATTTATTTTATCGAATTTCTCCCATCAATATATTGTTATAAAATTAATTATACTAAAATGGTAGTACATACCGAACCGAAATATTTTTGTTCGTTTTTCTGTTCTTTTCTTGTTTGTTTTTACCTTGCATTAAAATTTGTATAAGAAATCTTTACTTTTTTTAATTTTATATTTTTTAATTCTAATATTTATTATAAATCAAGTTTCGTAAATTATTATATGCAGCCCGCCAAAAAATTAGAAATTTAAATTGGCCCATTGATAAAAAAGGTTGCTCACCCCTGGGCTAGATGATTGATTTAGCAAAAATCCTAAAGGCCTGACTATAAAATTGTAACTGATGGTTTATGTTAAACAGTAAAGAATAATATGGAGTTATTGTTTATGTGTTTCACATAAATAATTACCTGTATTGAGGTTAAGATGGCTGAAACATCGTAAGTGGGACTCCATCTATTTTGCAAAATGTCTAAACAAATCCCACCATCTGCATAAACATTTGGATGAAACATTTTGGAGACAAACCTCACTGTAGGAGGTTTGTTTGGATATTCCTCTGTAAATTCTATAGTAAGTTTAAATGTTCCATCTTCAAAGGGAGTATCATGAGGCCCAAATATCACAGCATTCCAGATCATGATGTTATTATCGGTGGGTGCTCCAGAGACACCTGTGGGTGGGTCTTCTTGTAAACTGTGAAGGTGATAAAAATGGAATGTTTAGTGTTTTTTTTTTTAATTTACTTTTAATGTACAGTATAAATACTTAGGATATACAGATAGATTTACAGTGTAGGGTTCTGCAACAATCTTCACTGTTGAAAAAATAGGTCTGTCAGGGTAGTCACCTCACAGAAGAATGGTGTAAAGTGGAAGTGTTATTGTTTACATCTTGGTGAGTGAGGTAGTCAGGGCCCACTTTATTAAAAGGTGGCAGCACATCTGCAACCCTACGGAGGTTGCAAATGTCAATGGGCATTGGTTAGTACTTAACATCAGGTGAACTGACAGCTTTCTGCAATTTTCTACATAACCCAATTTGATAAACAATAATATACATACAAACATGGGAAATTTTTCATGATGTAGCTTTGGTCTACTTATAGCTTACAGACGTCTAACTATTGTATTTCACCACCAGTGTTTAGTCTAGAAGCATCATAAGTGGAACATATTGGAAATCGACGAAATCGACGGTGATGTAATTAGATAATTCAGCATTTTTGTACCTTAAGATAAGAAACACATTTTTAAGCAGTTTGTTGCGTTAGAAAAAGATACGAACCGCTTAAAATCTCTCATTAGACGTCTTCTGGCAGGAGTTGACATTTTGATTTCACACCTAATTCACTTTAACAAGCAATATTGTCCTTCTTTAGTATATATTTCGCCTTTTATCTCAAATCATCAAAAGTTTACCATTTAGTTTGAGTTTTAATTTGATTATTATAAAATGATTCTTTGTTGTTCTAAGAAATATTAACGTCGTGACCTATGAAACAGTTGTCAGAATGACCATGAAATTAGCAAAAAAAAAAACTAGCTGAGATCACTGCATTGCAAGGATGTCAGTCAAAATGTGTCATTCCAAATTTTTTACGTTGGCCAACCTAGTACCAAAACCAGTAAAAATATATACAGTAAGGTTGTATTAAAATTAATTGTAATGTTTGTTCATAGATTTTCTTATCGGCCAGTTTTTTTTGTTTAATAGTGTAAATTATTGTTAGCATCATCAGCCAGATAACATCCATTGTTGTACCAAAGGCTCCCCCTGTCTTCCCCTTACTTAGAAACGACTCAAAGATGACTTTACTTACATATAAAAATTATTTGTATTGTGTGGTTGTTTTTCGACACCAATTTATACATTTGAAATCGTCGCGGTTACCTTATCATCCACAAGTCTTTTAATAGCTTGCTGATCTTCTGCGATCCGAGCTTCTATGATCGAAAGTTTTAAGCAATTTTAATTGCTCTCCTTTATTTTGTTTACGTGGGGGAAATGCTTAAGCATACCATTCATAGGAGCAAGAGTAGAGTATATCAGAATGAGGTATGCAGGGGATGCGGCGACGCTCTTGCGGGATAAACAAGCACTTTAACTGGTCGTGGATCTAAATATCGCAACTCGGTCGATACCCGCTCCGCGACACTGAGTGTGATAGAAGCGTTACAGCTGGAGTCCGCTGAAGCAAATCCGCCTAACGTCGAAGCCACTCCGTGAAGCGTCTGAGCAGCTGAGGCCACTCTGTGTGGAACGTGTACTCTGTACGTCGACTCGTGTGTTTCCCTGCAACCGTGTATAATGTGTCCGTTTTTCACACTGTGCCGTCCCTTACATTTTGAAAGAGCCTATTTTGAGACCCGTGCAACCCTCTGTGCTCACTAGGAGCCTCCCTTCGGGATCTCACCTGGCTAAGTGTCACGCGCTGAAATGAGTAAGGAGCGTGCAGTGCTCACACAAGGAATTGATTCTGCCCATAACAACGGGCTATAACGCTAGCGGACGATGGAGGGACCGTTGCTTCCCGGACCACGTTAAGACACGGTCTACCTGCGACGACGAACTGGAAAACCACCGAGGGAGGTGATCTTCTGTCGACCAGCGAACTCTTTCACGAAAATACTACTAAATGGATTTTAATGATACTTTACAATAATATATCCTTCGTGCACGAGAGTGACTTTCACTTGGCCGTTTTTTATTAGTTTCCAGACTTTTCGTATATAACTAGAAAGGTCTTCGAATAAGTAGTTCTAAACTGCAAAGATATAAAATTTAATTTTCTTCAAGAAATCCTTCTCCAAATACTTTATTTGTGCAGTTTCGAGACACGTAAGATGGAAGGCATATATTCGAATCCTGGCAACGAAAAAAAAATGTAAATATGACGTTAGGAAGAAGGCTCTGGGATCGAGTCGTGGAGCAAAACATGGAAAAAGCTTAGGTATTAGATAATCCCCCCATGTTAGTCGAGTTTTCATCTTTCAATAACTTGGTATGCCAAGATGCCGCGCAGCGGACGTTGTGATCGTGTCGTGGTCGTGCATTAGCTTATTTGTGTCTCTTCAGTCGAAGAGTCGTTCACCCCCGTATCTTTTCCGATGAAGCTCTCAAAGAGCCGTATAATAGCAAAATACGTAGAGTAGATCTAAGTATTTTGTATATTTTGTATCGATATATCGGATCCAAATATATCGGCTGACAATATCGATGTATTTAATCAAAAATATCGATACTTTTCCGAAATCCCTACTTTGTGATTTCGGAAAATTATCGAGTTATCACTATCAGTCAGTGATGTGACGAGTTGGATTTTTTTTGAGTCGAGTTACTCGAGTTGATTTGACTACTGACTCGAATCGCAACTCGAGTTGACTCGCATCGAAGTCTCCGGTAGGGACAAAGGGGTGAGGGGAGGGGGGCGACGACGACGACTCGGCCAATTCGGAGAGCACGAGTCAGCTCGACTCGAGGCTAATTAGATAGGAAGTATCAAGTCAAGTAAGTATATAATGATGTTGAATCGTGATGTTATATGGCTACTCGAGTCGATTCGCAACTTTGTATGTGGTCTGAATTAATCCTCTCCTTTTTCTATACACCTCGACCCCGAACAGTGTCCGACGGTTAGGATTTCAAAGACAAAATTTACAATCAATTGGCACTAGTGTGCAATTTATTTCAAAAATCAATCAACAAAGGTGTATATTATTCCAGCGCAGATCTCAACATCGTGTTTAAGAAAATACGACAAAAAAATACCGCCATCTATCGCCTCAAAGTCGTACTTATAAAATGTCCATAGTCGATTGCTTATCGAAAATAATGTTAAAAAAAGTTTCTGTTTTTATAGCAAAGAATTCCGACGCCACACTTCTGTTATTTGACGTCGTTACAAACAAAACAAAACAGATCACTAACAAATCAAAAATGTCAATTCGCACGCGGATCGTCAACGGCCAACTAATAAAAACAAATAACAAAATGTCAATCAAAAAACAAAATAAACTTTTAAAGCGGTTTTTCATTTGCCCAATTCTGAATTCAAAACCCGAGTTCTATTCGAGTTGATGCGAGTAAGATGCAACACCTTACGAACGGCGCGCGCGCGTGTAACGTAACTTTGAATTCACTCAACTCGAGTTGATGCGAGTTGCAACACCTTACGAACGGCGCGCGCGCGTTTATCGTAACTTTACATTTCACTCAACTCGAGTTGATGCGAGTTGTAACGCCTAACGAACCGCGCGCGCGAGCCGCGTGTGTAACTCGGAACAACTCGAGAGGCCGCCGCGTATAACGTCCGGCTTGCGTTCGGACGACCGAGTTGATTCGAGTTGCTTAAAACTGAACTCGAGTTGACTCGTTTAAGGTTTGACTCGAGTTACTCGAGTCAAATAACTCGAGTCGCACATCGCTACTATCAGTATTTCTGATTTCAGTATCACGCATATCAATTATCATCTTAGTAGTCTGTGGCTATAATACTGAAACAATAACTTGTTAGTTTTTAATTAATTTATTCGTGTGTTGTGTATTTATGTAATGTAGGTAACTCTACCTATTTATAATTAACAATCCGACATCGTTTTAGTATATTAATCTTAAATATTTATTTAAAAATAATTAAATTTATATTTTACAAGTATATATGTATCTTTATATAGATTTTCATTTTACGAATGTTCATAAATATCGTATTTATGATACTGAAAAATGAATGATCAAAATACCAAGAAGATAAATTTCAATAAATCTATTGTAAGTAATTATTATGATAATAATATTTGTAAATGTTAATTATAATGATAAAGTAGAAAATTATAATTATTAATTTAACTTTTCAGTTATTAAGTCTTAAGGCAGAAGTTCTTAAAAAGCAAGAAGAAGTTATTGAAAAAAAACAATTGCCCCAACATAATGTGGAGACATTTAAACCTAAAGCAGAGAAGAAGTGTGATGTAAACAAACAAAATCATAAATCTTTTAAAGATAATTTGAAAGCAGTAGATATAGAAGAGTTGGAGACACTTAGAAAATCTAAGTAAGTATGTTAAAGCACAAAAAAGTTAAGTTTTATGATACAAATCTTCCTGCTGACTGTAGGTGAAAGTTTTTTGTCAATTCCTTCTTCTAAAAATCCCAGCTGATTTGCTTAACAATAATTTCCATAATAATCAAAATATATAATCTTTATTTTGTAAAGTATGTTAAGGACCAACATTGATAATTTTTAGATTAGCACTGGAAAAAAAAGCTGAGCTATATGAACATTTATCAGATAAAACAGGTAGTTCCCAGCTAGCTGAAAGATTCCTTGTTGATTTTAAAGGAAAGAAGGAAAGAGAGCCAGATACACCAATAAAAAAGAGGGATGAAAAGGAAACAGTTGTTTACAGTGATACTGACGATGATAATGAGTGGTATGTACATGTTTTTTTTTTTCTACTTTGGCTCCAATGATATGATAGAGATTTTTATGTACATGTTAATAACAGTTTTAATCAATTAAACAGATTTCATTCATGATCAGTCACTTTCCCCTGTCATACAGACAGCAAAGAGAGAAGGTGGAATTCTTGTACCCTAACAGCTCCTTCATGACTTCCACATTAATACCCGTAAATGTACCATGGTCTTAAATGGATCAATTTATTTAAGTACTAGCTACCCGCCCTGGCTTTGCAGGAGTGCCATGTGTTATACATATACACCTTCCACTTGAATTACTCTATCTAATAAAAAGAACAGTATCAAGATCCACTGCATATTTTTAAAGATCTAAGCATAGTGCATACATAGGGATAGACATACAGATGACTTTTTTTTATACTGTTTAGTGATGAGTGATGTTTTCAGACTTTAAAACTACCTTCACTCATACTTTATTATGTCTTCTTCGGTATCAACATAAATGTCTTACCCACAAGTAGAGTGTGTAGAATAAGTAAATCTATTATGGAACAATTTATGTTTCTACACCAAGATCCCAGAAAAAATGTAACAATTGCTAAATTAAAAAATGTCAAAGAATGTTTCTCTGTTAAAGGCTATTATATTATTAAGTATTACATTATAATATTAAAAAAATCAATTGATCGCTCCAGGCTCTTTTAATTGAACTTTAATATATTGTTAAAAAGGTTCTCACTATCAAAAAATAGTATGATTAAGTATTACTCCGATCAGTTCTGTAGTTTTCGCAGTATTAGCAAAAAAAATGGATGTCCATTTATCAATATTAGATTATTTTTAAATTCTTTAAATAGTTTTATGTCAAACAACATGCAATTATTGTACTTTATATCAAATTTAATGTTACAGGATAGAGTTTACAGATTGCCTTGGTAGAACACGAAAGTGCCTTAAATCTGACTTAGAATTATACAAAAAGAGGGATAAAGAATTATTGCGAGTAATAACAAATGGTCAAGAGAGAGATGAACCTAGAGAGGTATTTATTTACTTTTGTACATACAAAATTTTAGTATAATGTAAGCTTTAACTGTGGTAGAGCCACGCAACAGTTTGATGTTGCATGAATGGGCAGGGCAAAAAAGGTCCGTCTGGGGAAGTTCCATGACCTTACAGATGAAGAATGGGAAGTGTTACAATTTGCATTTCATCAGGTGAGTGAAATAGTCGGGGCCCTCTTTATTACAAGTCGGCATTGTATCTGCAACCCTATGGGTGTTGCAAATGTCCATGGGCAGCGGTTATCACTTAACATCAGGTCAACTGCCAGCTGGCTTGCCATCTTTTTACTTTAAAAAAAGCTGTATATTAAATATTTCAAATGATTATAAACATAAAGCAATTATGTAATTACAATTAAAATACACTTATTTTGTTTTAACTGTAATTGCAGGAACCTGAGAAGACTCCAGAGAAACCATTTTTGGTCCAAAAAACAAATGACTACTTGCAGTCATTACGAGAAAAATGGGAACAAAAGGAAAAGGAGCTTCTTGCAAAAGAAAAAGATATACACTATCAAGATTTGTTGTTTGATGGTAGATATTTATATATTGCTCTACTTGAAAATTGTATCAATTGGAGGGTTGTAGCCATTTAGTTACTAATTATGACCCTGAATATTCCGAAAGATACATACTTTTTGCAGTGTGTTGCATATTTCAAATATTAACAGCTTATAATTCACATTCAATTCAAATATCTAATTATAATAATAAATCATTTATTTAACCAGCAAGAACATAGGATATACAAAATACTTAGAAACTTAGATCTAGATTTCTGTTGAGACATTTCGAAAACCGTACATTATCTGCGGTGCTCACACTACGCGACGCCTGCATCGTGATATATTTTCACTCGGCAGCCTGTTGATTTAATATTTAATTTATTCCAGAGGCAAGAATCCATGGGGTGGGATATTACTCCTTTAGTACTGATGAAGCCGAACGCAAAAAGCAAATGGAGGAACTCACCAAACAACGGCAGGAGACTCTGCAAGCTCAGAAGGAAGCAGAGGAGAGAAAGAAGAAACGAGATGAGCTAATGGCGGCAAGAGTAGCGGCTGCAAGGGCCAGACAACGGGCTAGAGCAGGTTTACCGCCCGAAGAACCACAGAGTAAGTCATGATTCCTTAATTATTAGTTCTATATATTTATTTATTCAAAGTACAACCACATCATATATATTGGACATTTACATAGTTGATTTGATTATAAAAACTATTGCTGATACATATGAAAATAACGGTGTAAATAACATTGACAACATATGAAATAACAAAGTGGGTGTTTAGTAATACAAGTATAAGTTAAAAATATGAAAAATGTTTACAAATAAAATTAATGACTAATATATAGTTTTGTTAGCAGCTCTTTAAATTTATTCAGACTGCAATTAAATATATCCACATCGGCTATTTGTTTAACTAAGTGGTGGTATCCTCTAATTAATCTAACTTGAGGGGATTGTAGGCCAAGATTTGTTTTTGTAACTGGAATGTGAAAAAAATTACCATTTTAATTTAGTATTTATTATTTTTATTATTTTAGTATTTTAGTTATTTAGTTCTAAAAGTCTTATTATCAATCAATAATATAATAGAACCAAATATTGTATTCAATTTGGTCTTGTTTCTATCCCTAATGAGTATCAACTGTGGTTGGGCCACGCAACAAATTTGCTGCTGCACAAATGGGCAGGTCTGTCCGGGTAAGTACCACAACCTCACAGAATTTATTTGAGCCCGGGGCCCACTTTATTAAAAGGGGGCAACGCATTTGCTACCTTACGGGTGTTGCAATTTTCTATTGGCGTCGGTTATCACTTAAAATCAGGTGAACCGCCACTACACATCTCACACATAAAAAAATCTATCACCAGTCAAAATCTACAAATTTAGATCAGTCTTATTGGCTTATTTGACCTACACATTATTTTTTATCGTTACTATTTGCTTACAACAAAATAGTATAGAATTGGCGATTTCTTACATCATATAATTCCACACATATTTCTCAATAAAAAAACGAAAACATTTTATTCAATGGTATACTAATTATTATCTTATCCTTTAAACGAGCTATTCTTGTATATATATATATATATATATTTATAATCGGAATCTCGGAAACGGCTCCAGCGATTTTCATGAAATTTTGTATGGGCGTAGCGGATTCGGGGGCGAAAACTCGATCTACCGAAGTTTAATTTTTAGAAAACGTGCTTTTATCCCTGTGTTCAGGAAATGAAAAATATCATTCGAATATGACGGTAAATTTCGGTGCAAAAAAAAAAAATTATAATAGCTCGGTCGATAATCGGGCGGCCCCAAAACAGACGGCCGCGGTTCGTATCACGATCATTTACACACTTAATTTTTTACTTTTTTTCGATTCCAGATCATTGCTTTCTTTATTTTTTGTTAAGGTTCTTTCTTTTGTGAATAACACCAGTTCATATTTTCTTATTATTACGTCGGTACGATCGAAAAATATTATGCATATTCCATTACTCAGTAATTTGTATCTAAATGTAATTTCCAAAATACACGATTTACCAAAAAAAAAAACAGTCTTCCAGGTACTTGTAGTTAAAAGTACTAGTTTACTGTCCTCGAATTAGGTTCTATCAATTGTTTTTTAGCAGCATTTACACTTCAGAGATTTTTTGGTTTTGGCTCGTATAATGCAATAAGAATATGATACAACAGCAAAAAAAAAAATAGGATGAAATTAATTATTTATCATGATCTAGCGAAACGCCTCGGCTTCGCATGGGTAGCGTAAATTATACAAAAAAAATATTCAATTATAATGATCCAATTGAATGGCAATTGGTTTTGCATTCAAACATTATCATTATTTTACAACATATAGAGTTTAAACATGATTTACTTTTCAGAAAACGAAAAAGACTTCACAACGTGCCTGTTAGAGTTTCTGACTCAGCAGAGGAACGAAGCAGATGCTAAAGCAAAGGAAGAAGAAATGAGGATTCGTGAGGAGCAAGAGAAGGAAAGACAAAAGTTGCGGGAGTCTTATGTTCGCGAATGGGATATAGGAAAAGATGGTATGGATGAAAAGTTGAAGAAATTCAGAGAACTCACTCAGGAAGAATACGTAGACCAGCAAAGAGCGAAAAGAATAGATGAATTCGCACCACCTCGGCAGTCTTCTAGGGAAGGTAGAAGAAGCAATAAATTTGACGAAAAGGGGAATGCATTTTCGTCTGATACAAACGCTGCACCCAAAACGTGGGCAGAAGTAAGACCGAGGACACCACCACCACCAGTCATTGGGCCGATCGAGGAGGAATCACCAAAAGGTCTATTCTTCACAACAAAAAAGGCGAATGTAAAATATAAGAATTTCGTCAAGGCCACAGAACCCACGCCGATAGAGAATGAACTCAGCGATGATGAGAACTGTGCTGAAGGGAACGAAAGGCCGGAGAAAAGGAAGTCTGAGGGAAATTCCACAGAAGTGCCTCCACCGCCTACTTATGAATACTATGGGCCCGTTCCCAAGCATTCTAAATCAAATAAACCATTCCACTCGGATTTAGGAGAGGCGTATTCACAGGGAGCCAAAAGCTTAGAACCAAAAGCTAGCAATAGACAATTGCCAAAGCATTACGATTTCACATTTGATTAATAAATAGCCTATATGTTTATATTTGTACCTCGTTCCCCTCTGTTGTTCTATGAAAAATAAAGGATTTTCTGAGGCACTAAGAAATTTTATTTGTTCCTTCAGAATATTTACATTCACTAATCTAATATCACAACATATGTAAAACGAATCTTACGTTAACATTAAATAGAGATCATTTAAAAAAAAATGAAAACCGGACGTTGTATAATTGTGCTCGATAGAAACTTGTGAATAAGAATTCGTACCACGAAGTTGCTGCGAATAGAAGATTTATGCGGTAAGATCGTTCCCAATATTAGTGAGCTATTAGGAACGGCCCAAGGGCAATCCAGGGGTAAATGTACATTGCAATTGGTGCGGAGTAACTAGCGCCAGCCTTCGTTGGCATCACTGTCGCGTTTTCTACTGTTGCTATCGTGCTTGGCTCCGTCGGATCCGCTTTTATTATTTCAGTTGTTCTAGAGCTGGTGGTGGAAGGACTAGCGTTTTGCTGGAGCGCTTCGGCGGTCGGCAATTGTTCGCTCGGTACCACTTTATTTTTCGATAGGGGTGTGATGGTATCAGCACCCGTGTTCGCTTCAGTTTCCTTGGTCGTTGCTGTTTCATTTATAATCTCTGTTCTCTCGGTTGTCTCGGCGTTCATATTAATTTCGGCTTCTTTGATTGTGGTGGTTTCAGCTACGTAGATTGCATCAGTCCGTTTTGGTATGGTTGTTGACGCATTTAATTTGACGTACAATTCGTCATTATCAGGAATCGGCGTTGTCAAATCGTCTACCTGAGAATTACTCGTGATGTTTTCTTGAATGTAGATACCGTCGCTGGTGGGATTCATCTCTTCAAGTTTTTGAATAAGGTCTGGCTGACTTATTTCTAGTGTTTCGTTGCTAGACTTTCCTAGGTCTCGCGTTGTTGTTGGACTTTTGTTACGAGCATCCCCCCTCAGCGAGTGTTCACGGGCGGTCGACGTTACCACGATCATGTTCTCGCTCTGATCGATTTCGTCGATTCCATCGTCGGTAGTCCGATTCATCTGTTGGTGCAGGTCCGTTAGATTCGTGATTATGATCGTGCGTTCTCGCTTCGAGGTGACGAAATCGGACGCCGCCGCCGCCCTTTTCTTTATGCGCACGTCCTGCGACCTTGCGGCGAGCTTGGAGAGCGCGGCGAAGGCTTCGCTCTCGCGCTCCGTGCTGTTGCCGTTGCACAGGTTGCCCCGGCACGGGCAGGTCATTTTCCAAGTTTTCGTCGAGTTGCAGAATAGCGGGTAGCACTCGTCCTGGTAAAGCTTCACGCAGAACCTCGATTCGACGTGGGCTGGAATTTTATAGGGTTTGATTATTTCAATGCCAATAGTTCTAGCTGTAGCTAGAAATATTTTAATGATACTAATGAAATAATCAGAGATGTCGTGACGAGGACGTTTATAGTTCTTAAGGGAATAACAATCCATAAAAAGTGATTCGTTATACCACAAGTCAAGCGTTTCGTTTTAGTTGTCTTTATCATTTGTTTGTTTCTAAATAATGTTCATTCAATTTGTGAAAAAGTACATATAATATTGTTTAAAATTAAACCCTTAACGATACAAGATAAGATAAGATAAGATCCTAATATTAAAAGTTTCATCGAGCAAAGCGGTTTCGTTTTCGGTTTGCTAATAACGGTTTGTTATTAGCGAAGGAAATATCCGCAGGTTATATCAAAATAAATTCCTCGTAATGTTTAAGACCAAAATTGTAAACATATATAATTGCAATAGAATAGATGTATTAAGTTTCACCAATGAGATTAAATATTGAATGTAAAAATATTAAGTGTTCATTTACCACGTCCTCGAAAACTTCACCAAGAAATTGGCACATTTAAGAAATATATCAAAATAATTGTATATATATATCATATCTACAATCCGCAGTTGGGCTCCAAGAGGTCTTACGATTTGTTAAGTTTCAATTCAAACTGCAACCAAAACGATTTTATTACAGTTTAATTAATCTTAAAGCACTACATTGAAACTAAAGCTACGAGCTTTACTGTTAAATTTTTCTTTATGAATTGTGTTGTGTGGATAATAGAGGGAAGTTGTATAATAGAGGGAAAAGAATATGAACATTTGTACTCATAATAATGCTATTATTTGTACTCATAATAATGCATATAATTGATAGTAATGCTATCCTATTAAGTACTTATAGTGCACTCTACTGCTCGAGTGCCTTAACATCTTTTGCATAATGGAAGCCTGTAGGAGTACGATATATATAGTCTGTTGCCTTAGTAAACATACGTGGTGACGTCGCGACGATTGCGCAATGCATAAGTCCGGGCTCGCAAGTTGTGACGTGCCCCGTGGGATCGTCGCAGGGCGGGGCGCGTCGACTGCGGTGCACCTGTTCGGCAAGTGGGCCACACCAGTAGCATTGACGATCAGCTGTTACTGCACCTATAAGAACGTTCACAGTAACTAATTCCATAAAATAAAACATTACCGAGGACTTTCTTATAGTTAATCCAGGACCGCGTACAAACCCAGAGACCTCTATGTAAAACAGTTTAACATAGAGATCTCTGGGTTTCTTATTTCTTTTTCTTTTTTTATGTGAGGAAGTGGCAAACAAGCTGGCGGTTCACCTGATGTCCGCCTGCCCATGGACATTTGCAAAACCCGTAGGCTTGCAGATGCGTTGCCACCACTTAATAATGTGGGCTACGGCTACCTCACTCACCTGAGGAAACGCAGAAGTGCAATATTTCTACTTTGCGCCGGTCTTCTGTGAGGTCGTGGTACTTACCCGGACGGACCTGCCCATTCGTGCAACACTGTTGCGTGGCCCTACCACATTAAACAAGTAAGTTTCTACTCGGTTCTGGGTTAACTATAAGAAGCTTCTCGGTATTCATGTTGTATGTAAGTTTTATATATAATTTTATTCTAACTCAGGACATAGAAGGCAATACTTTGTTGAAAGTCGATCACGTGGTAAAATTATGAATAATAATGTCAATGTGATAAAACTGAAAAATGAAAATAGTCTTTTTATTATTGACATAAGGATGGCTCAATTATTAAAAAGACAATATTAATGATAATGCTCTTTTAATAGCCATAAATTTTATGTTATCAAAGCCATTAAATTACTTATCAGCATCAACTATCTTTCGATATTAATGGTATTATGGTGAGCACTATCAATAAAGTGAGGGCAATGGAGACATGTTGAAAAATGTATTAAAATGGATTCAAATGAAATGGTTTAACTTTCTGTGTCAATCCACGTAGCTGTTACTAATATACACCTGTCTTTATTAATTCAAATTGTAATAAGCGACGCTGTGGCTAGCGTCCGATCTTTTATTCAAGACCGCCGAACGCGGCTGGCTCGCTTCCAGTGTTGATTATTCCCACGGAGGGGGGCCACACGTTTGGCACATAATAATACTCCATTGAAAAATTTAAAAAATAAAGTCAATACCATTCAGTCAACGTAACATACAGTACAAGAAAAAACAAAAAAGAAAAGCATTAAAATTAATTAAAGGATCATAATAGTAATAATACTTAGTAGCCCGAATCCTACACCAGGAGTTTGCTCAGAAAGTACTATACGAGCCCGTGCTCGCAAATGACTGCGCCAGGGTTTATTGGGACCGGCCCATCATCACGGACAGAACGATTCTCGCGAACAAACCTATATATATATATATATATATATATATATATATATATATATATAGTGTTGTTGGACTGGGCACGTTTGTCTACTTGTAATTTGTGCATGTGAAATCACTACGACATGGAAACGTGGTGTTACAACACTTACGATATCCATATGTTTCTACTTTAAAAGTTCAATATTTACTTCACTCTTTAAAATTTTCATTCTTTATATCAGACATTTCAAACGTTTTTTACTTCATGAAGTTATACTTCTTTTGGCGCGTTAGGGAAAAATGATCAGAGTAAATTTTTACGATGCGCGCGCACTCAAACGTCGATTTTATGACAGCTGGCATAGTGTCCACCGTCCAAAATGTCCATTTATTTAATTATGTCGAAATAATTTTTTGTGATATTTAAATAAACCTTATTTAACTAGATAATAGACCTTTTTCCTATTTTTAGTTTCGCTTTTTCTACAAACGTAGAATAAGGCGAAAGATAAAATTTTTGTAAAGATATTTATCTTGTTATGCCAAAGAAGTATAACTTCTAACGGGTGTACATAAAGTACACACACACTTTTGATGATAAATGCGTTGCCATCTTTCTTCTTTACGCTCTACTTACTTTTCTTCATTCATAAGTAAACACATTCTTTTTTTAATGTTATTTTGTGATTCTATTAGTACTGCTAATCGGTTTTACGACACAATATTTGAAATTTTAGCTTTGTAGTTTTTTGTGTGAGAAAGTGGCAAACGAGTTGGCGGTTCCCCTGATGTTAAGTGATAACCGTCTGATGGAATTGCATGACGGTCTGTCTGGCTACGAGCCTCGGGGTTATATCCTCATTTCTCGGGCGAATAACCGCCTGTGACCGCCTTTAAATAAAGTGGGCTTCGGTACTTGCATATTTGGTGGGCAAATGCGCAGTTGTACAATAATACAAAGATTGGGCAGACTAAAGTGGGAAGATGTGTGAGAGCCGAGTGATTTATGCCTAAACCAGGTTTTTACCAAAACTTGGGACAACGGACGCCCTATAATGTTATCCTTCCGGTTTGTTACGATTTTAGGCATCTCGGATGATTGATATGAAATGACGTCCGGGACGTTGGCAACAGGATAGGTAAATGCAGGTTGGATGAAGTGGAGACAAGTCTCGAGAGTTATATAAGACTAGCGAATGGCCCCTCATACTCAAGGATTCATAAGACGGCGGAGAGACCTTTCATGACATATGGATCCGAGCAAAAGAGACGGATGAAAGGATGAATGGATGAAAGGTACACCACGTATCCGTCTCAACATACTAATGTTGAGATGGATAAGTGGAGAACCCGCAGAGCGCCATACTTACAAATTTGGTGTCAGAAGTGGGATAATCTTGGGAAAATCCGTAAGTACTGGGATCTATCTATTAGGTGTTAGGCGCGCGTCGCTTTACTTGCCCTGTACCAATATTTGGCTCTGTGGATGTAAGGTCCTAAGATAAAGTGTATAGTGACGGCGTGACCGTCTGACCGTCGAAGCTTAGCGTGAGCCCGCATCAACAACCCATCTCTACTTTTACACTGATCGACGATAAGTCTTCGCTGTTAGCGTTTAAATTTGTAGCCTGTTCGCCATATGGATCTCTCTAGCACATGGTTTAATAGTCGTTCGTTTATATAACGATATAAAAGCGAACTAAATGAGTGGTGGAACATAGCATGGTATTGGCACGTCATGAGAAGGGATGAAAGTCATGGCTAAAAAATAATGAGTGAGTATTTCTTAGGAGGGTGTAAGCTGGAGTGAGATCGATAAAGGTTTGGATGGACTATGTGAAGAATGATATGTCTGTGAAACAGTTGAGTATTGAAATAAAGGCTGGTACAGAAAACGGACCCCACCTAGTGTCGGACATGGGCAAATGAAAGGATAAGTTGCCTGCCGCCATTTTACCAACAAACGTCTTCTGTGAGATTGTGATACTTCCTGAGACGGAAGGTCGGCACAACAGAAGCTACTGGGAGTGCCCAGTGTAAAAATGAGGCATTCATACGAACTGTAAATTTTTAATCGTAAGTGATAACAATTTGTTATACTGTAGTTCATTATACATATAATTCGATGGTTTAGATTAAAAAAAATTATTCTAAATATATTTACAGAAAATATTAATTGTATCATGTTGGTGTATTCTAGATATATGGTAACCCTATACTTACCCTACTTCATATATTAAAGTGTTGGAAGTGGGCACACGAATGCAGCTCAAATTTATTTTGAATAAAGGTCAAAAAGTCGGCATGACTGCAGAATTTTGGCATGTCACGTACGTTGACGATCGTGAAAATTTTTACTTCGCTCGTGCTTGGGCTGAATTAATTCGAATTTGATGCAGGGAAACTTATGATCATATCTTGCTAAAAGTTCATTGAGCTGTGGCATTAAACTCTATAAAGGCTTATTTCACTGCCTAGCAATTTTTAACTTGAATATAGTTCGAGTAGACAACTATATTTACTAATTTAGTACTACTTAGTGATAGCTCAGAGTCCGGGCGTTCGCTTTTAATTCAATGTACTCGAGCAACCTGAGTTCAAATTCCGCTGGCTGCACCAATGAAATTGTTTATTGTAATTTTAAGTGTCGATTTTTCTTGAAGGAAAACATCGTTAGGAATTGTCATAATTTTCGAAATAAAAAAAATATAAATACATGTGAAGTTCCCGAATCTGCAGTGGGTATATAAGCTGAATTTTTACAGTTTTTTGTTTGCTTTTTGAGCAGACTTGATTTACTATGTTTATGTACTATATTACAAGACATGCGTAAACAAATTAATACTTATACATATATTAATATAATAAAACGACAACATATTACCAAACTATAAATGTAAAATTTAAAATAACCGCGTTCATAATGAGTTATGTGCATATTTTTACACATGCAAAAATACACACAAATAAATCAAGAGTTTACTTTCTTATAATCGTCAATTATTTCAACAGATTTTTTTACATTACGAAAAACAAAACCGATTTCAAATATCTCGCTCTGTATTCATTTTATAATTGATTTTCAGGAGTTCCCTAATTATCTCCGAAACCCAAGATCCAATACCATTGAAAATAATAATTGAAAGGTGGTGCTTCCTATGTGGTCTAAATAAACAAAGAATCATCAAAATCGGTCTATCCAGTCGAAAATTATGAGGTAACAACACAGTCGAATTGAGAACTTCCTCCTTTTGAAGTCGGTTAAAAAGGGTCAACATTGGAGAAATTTCTAATACAAAAGACTAGCAGATGCTAAATTTAACCATGTTAAGTGCATGCTGTGAAACATTAATATTTTGCTTTGCAGACACCGTGACTTGGGAGTTGGAAGAGTCATTAGCTACCTATTGACAATCCAAACAGAGATATGAGCAGTATTTTTAAGGTGATTTATAACTGTATGAATAATAAAGTATCCAGTGAAGTTTACACGTGGCAGAAAATGAGGTCATGGTTCGATCGCTTCATAACCGTTTTTGAGAAATAGGTATAATTTTTAAACTTAATCATACCGTAATATTTTATAAGTATAGGCTGATCGCCATGTATCATAGACACCTGCAATTTAATATCTATGAATCCACCATCTGCGCAGAAGGTCGAAACCTCACTTTGTGAATATTTTATGCACGATAACTTGTTGTTTCTTTGTGAAGCGATGTCGGCACCTTTGAAGAAAACGCTTGTATATGAAACATTTTATACAGGAAGGTTGTATAATAAAAAAGTTGATTGATTACTCGCAGTATGTAATATTTCGCATCTTGTTATTGAAAGTAATTTATGTGTGTGTAGCAGCTGTTTCCTATATTGGACGATCGTGTCAGCTATTTCTTGGCATACAGCGCTTCTAATTTACGAAATTCTGCGATGGAACCACGTAGTAGTTTTTGCATGCAAAATAAATTGGTTCAACAAGGGAGGCTTTTTCATTCGTTTAAGCCGCGCCTTCCAAAAGGCTCAGGAAAACGAGAAAAAAAACGAAAAAGAATTATACTTTTGCATTTAGTTTATTGTGTAATAACTTAGTGCATATCCACGGTTGGTGGTAAACACTTCAAGCCACCATAAAATGAAACGCCACCACGTTTATCCCAAAAAGAACATTTGCTAATGCACACATTGAACGATGCATTTGCAAAAGTAGTAGTCGACGCATTCCATGTCTTAGGCTAATTAGGACATTGTACAGGGTGGGACACGTTGTTTTGCCATATAAATTATTTCTAAGGAATTTGTCAATCTGAACACATAAAATGTTTGACAGGTTACACAGACACACAGTTTGACAAGAGAGCTGGTTCTTGTCTCGCTCAAAGGTTAAGCATAACTATTAAGCGAGGAAATGTAGCTAGCATTCTTGGCACCATGCCGCGTGGATTAGGTTTATTAGATAATATGTAATTTTAGATAGATTTAATCTTGTAAATATTAGACACAGTTGGCAGGTTGACAGTTACAGTTTGTATGGGAAAATAAAATTGTAGCTATTTCGATTTTCCATGGAAATTTTCCCATAATTTCTCATCGTTGAAACCTTCCCTGAACTGCTACATATCTTTCAAAACCAAAATTAGCCAAATCGGTCCAGCCGTTCTCGAGATTTAGCGAGACTAACGAACAGCAATCCATTTTTATATGTATGTATAAAATTGTAAATGATATAGAAAACTGACATAGAAAAAATAGATAAAGTTATTACAATACTCGTATATGACTGTTTTCATCGTCATTATAAAAATTCTATAGCGTCAAATTAAACGTTTCACGCATTGAATTTTTTATGCAGTGAAAAATAACGTGCACAAAGTAATTGTTTTACATTTACATATTTTATGCCACTGTAACGAGCTTTTATTGTTCTTAACAACGGACCTCTGAGTTCACTGGGAGACAAAAAACTCTTATTTTTTAAACAATGTTTACTTATAGAAATACAAAATTCTAATATAGGTCTGTTAGCTGGTCGCCTCATCATGGGGCGCATGATGGTAAGTGGTAACCTATTTGAGGAAGCTATTCATTTAGCTTATATTAAGCAATGAAGTATATAGTGTTTCATTGGAAAATAAATAAGTCAATTTTCTTACTAATAAAAAACAAAACCGACTTTAAATATTTCGCTCTGTATCCATTTTATAATTGATTTCCAGGAGTTCCCTACATAGCTCCGGAGCCCAAGATCTAATACCAATGAAATTAATATGGGACCACGTGAGAAACACCAGCTTTCAAATAAAAAAAGAATCATCAAAATTGGTTCACCCAATCGAAAGTTGTGAGGTAACATAACAAAAATAAAAAAAAAACAGTCGAATTGAGAACTTCAGATCCCGTTTAAACCTACGTGGTTTAACAATATGTCACTGTCTGTCCGCAGACCGGGTCGCGTAACCACTAAGTTATCCGTTACTCTATCATCCGACGCTCGTAAACAGCACAAGTGCTTACTCATCCAATATTTGTTCACATGACCGAGTGGTATTGCGGTCAACGTACGAATCGGCAATAAGAAGTCTAGAGTTAAAAAAAACTGCACATTTACTTTGAATTGGTGCTAATGAGTTCTTTTAACTGTGTAAAAGTAAAGTATCAGCCAAATACATGTCCCACTGCTGGGCAAAGGCCTCCTCTATACAGAGGGTATCAGGGCATAGTCCACCACGCGGCCCCACTGCGGATTGGTGGACTTCACTATCTTCAAAATATTTTTTTTTGTTATTATTTCGAAAATATGCAGTTTTCCTCACGATTCTTTCCTTCACGTGATAATTCAGCACTTAAAATTGACAATTTTATTGGTGTCGGGGATTGAACTCAGATTGCTCGAGTATATTGAATTAAAGGCGAGCGCCCGGACACTGAGCTATCACGGCTCGTTTGTGTGTGTTTCCCAATAAAGAAGAACATTTTCTCTAGAATCTTATGTAAATTTAAAAGTAAATATAAACGGATACTTAGGATTTCTATTTCAGTTCTCTTTTTAAAAAATATGTAAATAGTACAGGCTATACATAGGATTATATATGATAAATCAATGAAAATCATAAAGCTAGAAACTTATGTGAATTTACGAGAAAAATTTTAGACATAGGCAAAGTATCAAACTTGCAAATATATGGGGGATTTAGAAACACAGTAACACGACGACAAGAACCAGGAACGACAAGGAAAAAGGAAATAATTGCATTCCAACTTAGACTTATCTGAGAAATTAAATTTGATTTACAGTTGAAAAGCTATAAAGTAATAAAGAATAATTTTAGGAGCCGTGATAGCTCATTGTCCGGGCGCTCGCCTTTATTTCAATATACTCGAGCAACCTGAGTTCGATCCCCGGTGCCGGCACCAATGAAGTTTTTAACTTTAAGTGCTGACTTATCACGTGCTCCGCGGTGAAGGAAAACATCGTGAGGAAACCTGCATATTTACGAATAATAACAAAAAAAAAATGTATTTCGAAAATATGTGAAGTCCGCCAACCCGCAGTGGGGCCGCGTGGTGGACTATGCCCTGATACCCTCTGTATAGAGGAGGCCTTTGCCCAGCAGTGGGACATGTATAGGCTGTTACTTTACTTCACTTTTTTTAGGAGCGGTTAAGACATGTATCATTAACAGAACCCTTAATATATTAGCTTGACTTAAGTGGTATCAGTAATTGGAACAAAGTGTAATAAAACGCCTCATTTAAATCGCTCGATTCAATGTATATCTTCGTCGAGGGTTGTTTGTACGTCGAACCCGTTTACAGTCATTTGAAAACATAATTTAAAGCAGACACACTCACCACTTAGCATAATGAAAGTAGCGCTGCTCCAGAGTAATACTCTCGACGATGAAATGAAAAAGTTCTCTTGTTTCCCCACCATCTGAGTGCGAATAAGAAATTGTTTTAGAATCTAAAAGAATGTGGGGCGTCTGTGAATTATTTTTATATCCTAGCAAACAGAAAGTGGTAGTTTTTACATTGATAATTGTATTGTATTATCTTTTATGAAAAATATATTATACATTCATCGTATTAATATTACAATTGGAATTTATCTTTATTTTATTCTGCGAAGATGTCAAGAACTGTAAAGAAGAATATTAAACATTCGTTTAGAAATAGTATTGATTTAGTAACAAAAAAAAATATGTTCTGACATGTCATGTCGTTGAATAAGAGGATTTTTAGTATGTGTGTCGCTGTATCATATGTTTTCGAAGCAAAATCATTACACTGATAAAAATTAACATGATCAAAGATATTTAACGTTTTTCTAATTCAAATTTACAAAGAAAATCCAAGGGGGGATAAATAAGCTTTAATTTAAAAAACGTACTAAAATTGCTAAAACAAATTAACAATTTAATAAATCTTTCATTCACAATAAAATTGTTAAAAAAGCCTCTGGAGAAATTTGGTGCTGCTAAATGGTGTGTGATATAAAACATTATACCTTTAACAACGACTCCAAGCAAAGCAAGTTTGAATCACTGGTATTGGGAAAAGAATAGCTCGCTGGTTGGTGGCTACGCGTCCACTGCCCCGCGGTGACTACGCGATGGGCGTAGTTGTCGTAGCCGTGATGTAGCACTAAATGATTGTGACGTAGAGTCTATTTTTAGCTTTTGATTAAAAACATTGAGGGTTTCCTTAATTGTTTTTTTAACAGTACCTTCTAACTTCCCATATGCTCACTTTTCTAGTAATTATTGTTTGCGTTTTAATACTACGAAACCTGACGATTTATTTAAATTTTGATAATATATTCGTTTCGAACAAGCATTTCACCAGTTAATATTTTTAGGAGAGAATTTTTTTCTTATTGAAGTCAGTAAAATCAACATTATAAATATATTACTATTGTAATACTATTATTATTTATTAGTTTATGTGTATGTAGCAGCTGTTCTATATATCTGACGATCGTGTCAGCTGTTTTATTAATTTCCCGTCTAATTTACGAAATTCGGATGGTGGAACCACGTAGTGGTTTCTGTCTCCCAAAAGGCTCAGGAAAACGAGAAAAAAGAAAACAAAAAGGGAATTGTACTTTTGTATTTAATTTATAGTGTATATTTAATATTAGTGAATTTCTGAGAGGACTGACTCGCAGGTCAAGTCACCAGATACGGACACATCATATTAAAGCTGTTCCTTCCTAAAAGTTATATTAGATATATAGTTATATTAGAATAACCGGCCAAGTGCAAGTCGGAATCGCGCACGAAGGGTTCCGTACCATTATCTATAAAAACGGCAAAAATCAGGTCTGTTGTATGGGAGCCCCACTTAAATGTTTTTTTATTCTGTTTTTTAGTATTTTTTTGTTATAGCGGCAACAGAAATGCATCATCTGTAAAAGTTTCAACTGCCTCACTGACAGACGGACAGATAGACAGACAGACAGACGGCGGAGTCTTAGTAATAGGGTTCCGTTTAACCCTTTTAGTAAGGAACCCTAAAAGCTAAGGAATTGACTGCTGGGAAATACACATGTCGTTTTCCCCATGGATAGTGCTGTGTTTTGAGTGATAAATTTACCTACTGCCATTACGCACTGTGGTCTGGGTACGATTCAAAACAAAATAAAAATTATGTTCACCATGCAGATGTTCCGAGTCTGTTTACACTATTGTCCCTGATTCAACTGAAATGAATTCGTGTGACATCCCTCATGACACTCGAATTATATACTACTGCTACTGCAGTAGTATTTGAATTTTTAAGATTCTGTCAGTAATAATAAAATAGTAATGTAAATATTCCGATGGAATCGAACCAGGCATCTGTGTTTTATTGAATGAAACATGCTTTGCAATTCATACATAATAAAATAATATAGATTTCAACTAAAATATACGTGGCATTAATCAAATTTTATTTAGCTAACGGAACTTGCTCGCTACTTAGAAAATACGATCGTATGGGGACAATAAATTGATTTACGTGAGACACGCAGATACATTTATCACCTACAATATTTATCGTTGCAGGAGCGTACATAGTTTTAAAATTTTGCGGAACGGATGAAAAATAATGGTTGGAATCAAAAATAAATCATTTTGCGATAAAAGCAATCTGATCACGGATAAGGAAAATTAATTGATGTATAAAATATAATATTTAGTCATAAGATTTTAATCGTATAATAACGAAAAATATGAACACAATGGAACACAATGTTTTGTAAAACATTATAAAAATCTGCAATTTTTAACGTATATAGAAAGTGCAAATGTGCGGGCAGTCGATGGATGCAGGTGGCTCAGGATCGTGCTTCGTGGCTGTCTGTGGGGGAGGCCTATGTTCAGCAGTGGACACAAACAGGCTGAAATGATGATGATGACAATTCAATAAAATATTAAGATTAACCCTTTCTAGTCTACTAATAGAATACACTAGTAACACAATGAACCGTAAAAGCAATTTAATTTCATTTTCTAGTATTTAAATACACATGTTACTTTCGCCTTTCAAATAATACAGTAGGTAACTATTACAAGAACTTTTTTCTTCGTTTCTTTATAATAGTTCTTTCGCTGAATGAACGCAGCACGAATGTAGGTCGATTGGTGTCTAGTGGTTGCGGATCTTATGTTTTTAGTTAGATGGTAGCCGTATGAAGAATATGACTTAAAGTAATAATAATGACTTATAGTATGAAGTACTTTAAATCATGTTGTACTTAATCGTTTAAATTATTATTATCATTCACAGAGAAAAGTTGTGTTACATGTGTGTATTTCTGTTTATAGGTATCCTTTTATTTACATATATTTTTGTGTATTGTTTATGAAGCTATGCATTTCAAATACTTTTATAGATATAACTGAGAAACTTTTATATTAAATCAAATCGAATCATTTATTCATCGAAATATACATTTCATCTATCTATATCATTTTTTAAATCTACCAACGTTTCCGTAATGAGGTTCCTCTAACGGATAAGAAACAGACGAAAGAAACTCCGTAGGTTTCCTCTTTTTTGTTATTTTTTTTTCTCAATCAATTACATTGTTTTAAGGTTATTTATCCAAGTTTATTTTATTATAAAGTCATAATACCCAACCCGTTAATAACAATACCATATTCGTAAATATCATTTCAAATTGCAAAAATACTGAAAATCGTTCTCATTTATGTGTTTCGTCAACAAAGAAATGCGTCAATTTGTGACAACTGCGTGATGGCCATGAACTCGTGTGCTCGTCGTGTGACGCGTGTCTCTTATTGATTGCAATTTGTTGTGGTCTACCACTTTACGGTCTCCCCTACTCGGCCGGCCTTGTCGTCAAGCCAGAATACGTACGTAATTATTTCTGAAGTATACGTCTGTTTGGTATTTTGCATGAAAAGTTTAATTCATAACTTTTAGTCACGTTTTTATGGTCTGAAAACAGGCGTTAGCACGATACAAAGATGACCGTGAATATTATACTACGAATATGTTAATCATTACTGCGACGGGTAAATTACTGGCAAGGTCTTAGACGTTTTTGTATAAAAGAATATAAATATACACATAAAACAGATCTGCATATATTAATTGTATAGTACTGCTGTATTAATATATCAGCATGATAAACAATTTGAGACTAAAAAAAGGCTAATTACAGAAAAGACAAAAACAGTAGAAGTAAAAGAGGTAAAGTAGTAACACTAGAACATACAAATAAACAATGAAATAAAAAAAACTCAAAGTTGGATTCTCTTTGTAAGGTCTTGCATACAGTAAAGGATGGCACCCTAGATGGTGTCAAGCATAATTAAAAATTCATTTATGATTTAGATAGATTTCAAGATTTTCGCGCCATAAGTTCAGCCGTTTAGCTAATTTGTTAAAGCATTGGGCGCGAAACTAGAACATACATACCGCAGCACTGCAAGTTTTTTTATGACAAAAATTTTAAGCTTCATCTTGAGTGCGGACCTAAAAACTAGCGCTAAAATTAAAAAAACATACCACGCTGATTTAAAATTTATCATGTCTTCTTTAATACTAGTTTTTTGATTTAAGTTTAAAATGGTGTTTCGTAATTTGTTATACCTTTCCACGTATTTGAATATCGTTACCTGATTCATTGAAATTCAAATGTATAATCACAGTGAACCAATCCCGTCCATGCAAGCAGAATCCTTGATTAAGCAGAGGTGATTTGTTTTGTTTATTGATGGATGAATTCAATTTGGTTATAATTATTGTCTCTGTACCTGCTATGCATCTGCGAAATTCGCGTTTGGGCTTTTTGGTAAACATATTTATAATTTCTTAGTATTATCTGTTTATAAAGTATTGTATTCTACGTAACTATATAAATGGCATTTCCGAAGACGAAATACCATATAGGTTAGATGTCTATTAATATAGGATGAAAGTAGGTAACTTTATAACAAACAAGCAAAGTTTATAACTTGTGGGACTTGTGTGAGAGTGTTGTTACTCGTGTGGTGTAACTCTAATTTAATTACTGTTGTTATATTTTACACTATGTACATCCATTGATACATATATTTCGAAAATTAGAACGTGTTGTATTAACTTAATATGAAATATATAACTAAATATGAAATGTAAAACTAAAAAAAGGGAGAACTTTACTCATAAAAATGAGTTTAAGCCGGGACCAGCGTACACACGAGCTTAGCACCATACTTCAAGTATACTTCAAGTATGTGCTAAGCTAAGCCATTTAATTCAATTTGTGTATGTCAAAAGTTTCTGTAACACAAGATTATCTTATCTTCTACTTTTACAGTATTGAGTAAATATTTGGTAAATGCTTCTGCTTTAAAATATAATTAATATTTACAATAATATTACTCTACTTTCGAAATAAAAATGAATGTCTGTATGTTTTTACTCTATTTGGAGGAACTCGTAAAAGTTTCATCATAAATTATTAATTTGGACCACCAATTATTTGTTCAAAGGTTCCCGGTCCAAAAAAAGACATACACATACAAACACCCAGATCTGAAACAATTATCTGTATCACACAAATACTTGTTTATGTGGGAAATGAACCCTCGACTACCGGCTTCGAAGCCAGCTTAGCAAATTCGCCGCCACCGAGTCCCCTATGCAACTATTGTTAACATTTTTCTCATCGAAACATTGCAACGCATAGGTAATGCTAGTGTGGAACAAAATAAAAGAGGTTATGGCACAGCAGTTTTTAACGGTAATGTCACGATAAAAATGTAAGCATTATAATTTACTGCGTAAGCGGGGTCGACGTGAAATGTAACGCGTTTCACCGGAGTTAATGTCGCGGGATGTAGGTCGTCCCAACGTCGGAGTGCACTCTGCATTGCGACGCTATGGTTTTATCGTAATTTTTTTAAGTTCAGAAATTAACAAATGAAAATAAAATAAAGAACATAATATGTTTGGGAATCCCGAACAGAAAAAGCGGGTGAAAGCGGTAAATGCCTTGCAATGGTCTTTTTTTGAAACTTTTTGGTATTATTTATTGACTAGATAATGAAAAAACCTCTTATGTATCGACATCGTTAGGAAATTTCAGATTTTCCAAAAAGTAATAAAGAAACAAAAATAAATTGAAGATATGTGCCTAGCAGTGGGGCATAGATCGGCGGTTACTTTACATTAGAGTCACGAGATAGCTTTTAGAGATGTATATGTAGGCAGTGTCAGTCTTAATAGGGAGAGGTAGAAAACCTAAGTTCTAGATATATGCAGAAGAGTAAGAGTTCTAATTTATGTAGATGCCTAAGAGCTCTAGTCTATGCCCTCGTTACTTATCTATTTAACATAAGGTGAACCATCTGCTCGTTGGCTTCTTCAACATGTTCTAATGTTGTGTACATCTTTAGGTTTGTACCCGAAGGGTAAAGCGGGACCCTATTACTAAGACACCGCTGTTTGTCTATTTGTCTGTTTGTTTGTCTTTCTGTTCGTATGTCACCAGGCTGTATCTCATGAACCTAGTTAGATAGTTGAAATGTTCACAGATGATGTATTTCAGTTGCCGCTATAACAACGAATACTAAAAAAAAAGAATAAAAAATATATAGGTGGGCCCCCATACAACGTACATGATTTTTTTTGTCGTTTTTATAGATACGGAACCCTTCGTGCGGGAGGCCAACTCGTACTTGGCCGGTTTTTTATATTCTGCAATATATCAATATGTTATGTGTAATTGCCTCAATATTTGCGTATGAAACTGGACTTCGTGACTGAAAGTTATGTAGTTTTTCGATACATTAAATCTTGTAAATATTAGAGAAAAAAATATAAAAAAGTCCTCATACAAACCCAAAAATAAAAAAAAAAAAATATCTTACGCTTATATATCCTCGCGAATCACATGCATAATAGTAAAGAAACCCGTCGGTACGAATGACAACCCGCTGTGGCCGTGAACTTGGCGCGCTACGCGCCGAGTCGCATTCGTCTCTTTTATTGATTGCAATTTGCATTGGCCCAGATTGCCGCTCCCCCCTCCCGTTAACCTTGTTGTCATGCCTGAAATAATTCAATTGTTTGTGGTGACTATTTCTATGTCGGATAGCATTATAGCTA